AGTTTGCACAAGACGAAAACACAATCGTTTGGGAGACTGTGCGAGCGAGAAAGATATATAGATAGATAAATTGATAAAGAGAGAGAGAGAGAGAGAGAGAGAGAGAGAGAGAGAGAGAGAGAGAGAGAGAGAGAGAGAGAGAGAGAGAGAGAGAGAGAGAGAGAGAGAGTTAACACAAGAAGCTAAACACAACCATCTATTTAAAATGACTGTATTTCAATTATAGTATGGTTTTGGTCTACCTTGATCTTAGAGTGCAGCTGGTTGCCGTGAGAGTACATTACCATTATCTCTAAGTATGGGGAGTGCATAAAATTGAATAGTCTAGGGACCTACCACACTAATCAGAAATGAATTGACTTCTGCTACAAATTGATACACTACTGGTTATTCTGACATTATTACAGTAACTGAATCCTCCCTCATAAATCAAAGAGGTTATTCCAGCCTTCACCTGGATTGCAAGCCCTGTCCACAGCCGTTCTTGTCTCCAACGAAATTATATTCAGATTCCTAGATATTCCTTATTTTCTAAGACAACCCTATGTGACCTGCTTTCATCTGTCCTCATTTGTTATTCCGCTTTTGTGTCACATCCCTCGGGTGTATTTCCACCCCCGGTTCTACAGATTTGAAGATGGACTGCGATCTTTCTCGCATTATCGTCTTGTTGTGATCGTACTAAGCTGCTTTGAATGACAACCATTCTTTGATTTCGAATTACCGACAATGGTAGAGTGATAGTCTCGTGGTAGTAGTTGTTTTGGCATTGTAAGTGTATAACAGTAAATAACATTGGTATATTACTACCAAAGGAAATGATAAAGCCTTTGATAAGAATAAATATAATGATAAAATCATGGAACTAGCGTGCATATCGCAGTACGTTTAGGTAAACCATTAAGGATAATCCATAAAAATGGCTCTTAAACATTCTTTACGCTAATGATAAGGGATAAAGATATTACTTGTCTCTAACCTTGAGTTAGTCTACGAATCTGAAATGATTACTTATTTTCATGTGTGAAAACTGAAAGGAAAAGTGCTTTTATTGATTCTTGTGTCTACATCGCGCAGATATCTTAGTAATATATACTCTCAACAATTACATTTCGAATAAACTATCAGGTAAATAAGGAGTAACAATAATTTACATTAACTCGGGTTATGTGACCAGGTGAGTTATCTGGATACATTCTAGACCAGAGAGGTGGAGGAATGGGCCGTGAATCCATTTTTTAAGCGTTGTTTTGCATGCTTCCTCAACATTTGTTTCAAGGGATTCCTCATGGGGGAAGATGGCCAGGCATTACTCGTGTAATGTATATTCTTGCATGCATTAGAGTTTATTGTTCATATTCCAGATTTCTTTTTCTCATTTACCGCTTGGTTTTCCTCCTCTTTTATCTATTCTTTCTCTTTGTTTCTTTCGCATTTTCTCCGTCTGTCTGCTTTGGTTTCTCCTCAATCATCCTGTCTCTCTTTTACTCTTATAACAGCACCAAAGGACAATTGATAATTAGTCCCGATCATTAAATTTCTCTTATCCATCATACTGATACATACACACTCCGAATCATGTGTTTGTTCGAACGTCACGGCTTAGGTTTAACGGATAGCGATCATAGCGTTATTCTTCTTATGTGGACGTTTGTTCGCATGTCTTGTGGCCATCGAAGTCAGGTGGTACTTGTGCGAAGGCTAGTAAGACATCATTAGATATCATTATGGGTGATTTTATAACTGTCAATCATGGCTCTAATTCTATGCATAAACCTTGGTGTAGTTTATGACCATTTTTTCTCTCAGAATTAATGTGTCTGTTGGTCTCTTCCTGCGTCACTCTTTCTGCCTTGCTCTTTGTCTGTCTGTCGGTCTGTCAGTCTGTCTCTGTCTCACACAAGAATATACTTCAAATTTGTTAACGAATCGACATCACTATCCTTCAACCGAGTCTCTAAGCGCCAACGATTGCTCAGCAGAAATTCGGAGGCCCAGCAGCGTACGAGGGAGGAGCACAGTGAGTGGCGCGGCGGACTTGTTACTGGCAAAGAAGTGTTGTACCTTACACTCTCAGGGGCCGGAACTGATAAACGTTATCATCCTTCTCTCTCTCTCTCTCTCTCTCTCTCTCTCTCTCTCTCTCTCTCTCTCTCTCTCTCTCTCTCTCTCTCTCTCTCTCTCTCTCTCGTTCTCTCTCTTTTTCTCGCTCGTTCTCGTCTACTATCTCTCTCTCTTTCTCTTTCGTTCTCTTTCGTTCGCTCTCGTCTTCTATCTCTCTTGCTCTCTCTCTCTCTTTCTCTCTCTCTCTCTCTCTCTCTGTCTGTCTGTCTGTCTCTCTTTCTCTCTCGTTCTCCCTCTTTTCTTCTGCCTCTCTTTATCTCTCTTGCTCCGTCGTTCTTCATCTCTCTTGCTCTGTCTATGTCTGTCTATCTATATATCTGTCTATCTGTCTATCTCTCTCTGTTTCCCCTCCTCTGTCTGTCTGTCTGACTGTCTG